TAGGGTTTAGGGTTTAGGATATAGATCCTGCATTTCCCCATAAAGAGGAATATATACCATAATTCCCATAGTCTATAGGGTCCTTAAGGTAATACAGTAGGGCCCTCTTGGTACCCTTAAATAGGTAGGCATTCAGGCCCCCCAAAGAGAGTAGGTGTAGGGTCTAGGTTAGGCCCTTGCCCATAGGCCCCTAAGTAGTTCCTGTTTGGGACTACCTTATAGGATTCTAAATATGAACCACAAAAAGGAACTACTTAGGGGCCTATGGGTGTATGCCAGGCCGAGGTGTGTTTCACGTCGACCTCAGTTCTAACCTCCACGTCCGGCCGACGGCGACGACCTCCGACGTTGCCAACCTCCTTTATTTGGCCGCCGGCAACTGCTGCTCAAACCTTGGTCGTTGCGTGGGAGAGCTGGGGAGATGTTATGGTAAGGCTTCCTTCTTTTTAAATGTCGTACGGGCCTCAGAAGGCTCTGTGTTCATGGTTTTTCAGGGAGTTTCGGGTTGCAGGGGTTCATCGGCTGGGTTCGGGCTTCAGGGTCAAGCGGGATCCTACTTGCGGGGACGACCTTCTTCCCATGTGTCCACATGGAAGCATCGCCAGCCTGTGCATAAATCATGTTGGGGGGGGGCGCAGTACAGCAACCGGAAAAACCACCTACCATTATATATATATATATTCTAATACACAGCAATACACTATAATGGACTGCCACAAACAACAAGATGCTATCTTGGACTATACTCTAGACTCTAGGGTTTAGGGGACAGCCCAGGCTCGCAAAGACTCGAGCAAGCAAGGGGGCAGCGCAGGCCCTGATGGGAGCACACCAGGAGTTCTCCTAACCTTACTTGTAATATTTTAAAATCTTAATAGTTTTATAAACCCTAAACCCAAAATCAATGGTTCTTATCAAGCCTTGTTTAGAGTCTGCAAGACTCGAGTCTACCAGACTCATAACCACCATCAAAGTAGCAGGAGCCCTTAAACTAACACCCTAAACCCCCCTTGATACAAATGGCCAGGCTTGCAGCGAGGGTCGTCCGCAAGTAGTACCCTATACCTTAAACTTCGTATGTTGTAGTATTTTATAGTATGTTGTAGCATATCACAGTGCCGTAGGGGACCTTAATACCTTAGTTATAGTACCGTATGTGTAGCGAGCTACTCTCGTAGACATGGCGGCAAGCTGCTCTCAGCAGTCCGAAAGGGCGCAAGTAAGCGGCAAGTCTAGGAAATGGCAGGCGCAACACCAGAGACACTTGAAAGAGCAATATCAAAGCACAAGCAAGAGAAATGGCAGCAACGAGAGCAACAATAATTAAGACTATAATTATGCGCACATACTAAAAACACATGTGCATTGGTAGCGGTGTTAGCGAAAGCATGCGAAAGCCTGTAATTAAGTTTCGAAGAGTAACAGCAGCCCAGCATCAGCAGTAAGTGATAGAATTGCTGCTGCTACCATGTATTAATTACCGAAGCTACATGAGCCCTGGTCATGCGCGACTGCTGGACATCATCAGCTAGGGTTGAGGGTTTATGGTTTCTTCGTTCATCCCAACTCACTCTTGTTTCCTACGTACGATTCCTTTGCAGGGTCCTGGACAGACGCCAAAGGCGAGTCCAGACGTTCCGGCGCTGTGGCATGGTTTCTTGGCCGGACGTTGATGCAGTTTAAAACTCCGATCGTCACGGGGTTCTTCTGGGGGAGTTTCGGGTTCGAAGGGTTGAAGCAGGGTGGACTTAGATTCTTCGGTTCAGAGGTGGAATCCAGGAGGATGAAGAGGAGCTTACAAACTGCTTCCTCCTAGGTCCTAGGTGCATATGGGCGAGCCTTCATCAGAACCTTGCGAAGCCGTCCTCTATTTCACGGCCTACTCACCTGCTCAACACCCCGAGACCCTGAGACCTCACACCTTATCTGACTCCCAGAGCCAAAAACAACAGTAATGTAGGGGCGTGAATAATAAGAATAGGGTTTTGGGGTATGTCAGAAACCATAACGATAATTATTTAGTTCTAATTCTTTAGGTCCCTATAAATAACTATTTTAGGTCTAATTATTTTTAGGTCCCTATAGATAAATTCTTTTAGGCCCCTATATAACCCCCGAGCCCCTGCCGTATCTGAGGCTGGCATCCACCCGGTCCGCGACGCCTGTGCTTCCGCAGCATTCGAGAGACCCTGAGCCCTACCCATAGGCCCCTAAGTAGTTCCTTTTTGGGATTACCTTATAGGGTTCTAAATAGAAACCACAAAAAGGGACTACTTAGGGGCCTATGGGTAAACCCAAATATAAGGGGCTTCACCTTGAGATTTAGGGTGTTTCCTTAGAAGAAGGGTCTAGGGTTCGCTGGAGAGATTCCCCAAACTCATGGACTTTTCTATGTATATCTCCTAGAAACGCTCGTCGAGATCTACACGTAGCCCCCATATAGCGCCCTTCCCGTAGATCCTTAAGAAACCTAAATTACGGCAGCTTTTAGTCCGGAGAGCTGAAGTTACATCCCAAACCCTCAGCCCGAAACCCTAAACTAAACCAGAACCCCCCCCAAAGACAAAGCTTCAACCCTACTCCCCTAACAAAGTAGGGTTTAGGGTTTGGGGTTTCTGGTTTAGGGTTTAGGGTTTCTAAGCCCTATAAGCCCTAAGCCCCATACCCTCCCAAGCCCTGAACCCGCCAAGACCCTGCTAAACCCCCCAAGAGCCCCGAAGACCCCAAAAACTCTCTCCGCACCTGAGGCCTTTCTCCAGAGCCAGCCGCAGCCAGAGGGCAGCCGACCCTTCAACTTTATCATCTCCAGAGCTTTGCCCTCACCTTCAGGTAGGGTTTATAGGGTTTAGGGTTTAGGATTATGATAAGGCTGATATAATATCGGGCTGTAAGGGTGTCTCCACAGCCGGGCCTTGATTTCGTGATTGCTGCGTGGTAGTGGTCGTGGGTGGTATCGCTGGTAGTAGCAGCAGAGGTTTGTTAGTGTTATGACTATAGCCATTAGGTTGGCTTTCAGTTAGGGCTTAGAGTTTAGGGTTTCAGGGTGTAGGTGCAGAGTTGCGGACTCTCTGCTGATTCATTCGGCAGACCTTTAACCCTAAACCTATAAACCCTAAACCCTAAACCTATAAACCCTAAACCCTAAACCCTAAAACCCTGACCTTAAACCCTAAACCTAAAACCCTAACCTTAAACCCTAAACCCTAAAACCCTAAGCTTAAACTAGAGCTTGCGTTAGCCCAGGCGATCCAGCGGCTTCAGTGGCAGATGCCGCCGCCGGCGCAGTTATCCCTTTGTCGGCGCACGACATCCACACTTCTCCCTCCGGTGGGGGGGGGGGGTTTAGGGTTGAGGGGTTGAGGGTTCAGGGTTTACGTAGGGTTTAGGGGGGGGGGGGTGGCATCGGTTCTGATAAGGGCGCTGAAGTCCGCGGTTTCAGCTGAAACCGGGATCCTGTTGCCGGAGTGGAGGTAGTTCTGGCCTGTTGAAATTTGGACGTCAGAGCAAGGATGTACCAAAATGGAGTATGTAGCCGAAGATCAAGATGGAACTGTCACATGGATTCAGGCTCAAAGTTGGGGGTTCACGGCGTTGGCAGGTTGGGCATAATTGACTCTACCACCTCTGCTACCACTACTGCTGCCGCTGCTGCTCCTGCTGCTGCTACTGCTACTGCTACTGCTGCTGCTGCTGCTGCGCCACAGACACCGCCACCGCCACCGCCTCCGACGCCGCCGCCGCGCGCCACCACCCCCACTCCCACCACCACCACCACCACCACCACCACCGCCGACCGGACCACCACCGGACCACCGGCCATTCGGCTGGTGTTTCCGCGACACCTAAGTACCATGCCGCTGCAGAGAGCCAATGTGATGCCAGAACCAACCACCATATCCGGTCCGGAACCCCAGAAGCTGAACTCGCAAGCACAACAGATCCCACATCCCGCACCTGAAGCCTCTAAACCCAAGGATCGCAGATCTTCAAGACCATAACGTCACACAGACATCCCCGTGCGGTCCTCTCGCCGGGCCCTGCCCAGTGCATGTCCTGCAAAGCTCTCAAAAGCCTGATGGGGAGGCCTTGCCAAACCTAAAGCTTGAATCCTGGGATATTAGGGTTTGGAGTTCGGGGTAAGATGGCCCGAAGGTGCTCTTCCTCGCCATGTGCGCTGCGATCGAGAGGCAGCTGCGAGACCTGGAAGCCCCGTAAGTCGTAAACTTCCATAGACCCGAAGCCCTAGACCCTTTGAACCTGCAGCCCGAAGCCTAAAAGGCCTCAAGCCTTTTACCCGGAGTGGAGGCCTTAGCGATCAAACCCCAAGCCGGAGAACTAAAAACGCGAACTTTAAAGCACTGAGAGCCGTGCTAAAAAGAATAAGGCCCACAAAGGCCCACACAAAACCTCAGCTACGCCTACACATAACGCCCGCCAACTTCTGCACCCTAAACCCCTAAACCCCCCAAGTCCGCACGGGAAGGCTACCGCCCGGTGGAGCATATTCTCGCGCCGGACCTCGCACGAGCCGAAGAAGGCCCGGTTTTCGGATTTCAATTTTAGAGTTTGGGGGTTTAGGTCCTATAGTTTACGGTTTCGGA